GTGTGAAAATTTTATGTGGAGGTTTCTGAAGGAAGCATGTGGATGTCGAGCACAAAATGGATCTTAGAAGTTTTTAGACGAAACTATTTTGTTAGATGCGTAGATTCAATTGATTGTGTTGCATGTGACGTACTGGATAAGTAGATGGACCCCAAGTTTTCTTCCTAATGCATGTGAAAACCGATCATTCTAATTGTCCTTAAAGTTTGGATATATATTCGGATAAATTTTTACATCAATAGATACTAAATCTATTATTTTTTAAATTAAATTAATATTAATCACATTTAACTTTTGATATCGACCCATGTTTAGTATCTCAAAAGGAAGGATAAGTTTTCTAAAAATGAGAAGCTAACTTTTTGACTTGATGAGTCAGAAAATTTTTTCTTATTACTCCATCTAAAACTTTCAATAGTATAAAGTTTATATATTGATTAGAAAATTTCGATAAGCTTTCAATATATAAAGAAGTAAATAAAATATGTGAATTCTTTTTTTTCCTTCTTCAATAATTTTTTATTTCTAAGCCATACATGGTCATTTCCTGTGCACGGGCCTCACATGCATAGCATTCAATTTTTTTTCCTCGGTGTTCGACTTTTAATTATTAATTGACTATTTTGAAAAAAAATCTAAAAAACTAAGAAAAATTATCTTAAACATACTTTTAATAAAAAAAAAGAGAGAGTATATATATGTGTATATATATCATGCAACCATAATTAAAAAATTCTTAAAATTAATCATCTAAATTATATCAATCTATTTTTTAAAAGAAAATAATTACGTTCTACAATTTTATTTCAAAATTAAAAAAACATTAGAGATCAAAGTGCAATATTTGTAAAATATTGCATATAAGAGAGTTTTTTTTGCGGGATAATGAATACCGCAACATATAGCGATGAGTAGTGTTTTGCGAGACAAGTATATAAAATGCCTATAAAAAATAACAAAATTCACAAAAATACCACTGCTGAATTTTACAATAAATGAATAGTATTTTGTGAGGCGGTGAATATTATTTTGTGAAGTATTTCTTAGTTATATTTTAATTGCTTTTGCTAATAATCCTTGTTTTTTATGATCTTATATGATTTTTTTTCCTTAAGACAAAGGTTAATTGGGTAATGTCCAATAGATACGAGTCCAATTAGAAAATTATTTTATTGGATCTAATTGAGAATTGTGTGATAGTTCGAGTATATTTCATGAAAAAGGATAAATTTTTCTAGATGGTTTTATATAATATTTAAAAGCTCTCATGTGCTTTTAGATTTTTAATTATATTCTATTTATTTCCAAAAGTGTTTGAATGTTTAATCTGTTATTTTTGATCAATTTTTTTAGCCAAATAATTTTTTCTAACCAAAATGCTCCTTATTGAAATGCAAAAAAAAAAAAAAAAAAAAAAAAAAAACCTTAAAATCACATGTCTTGCATGTTCTATTTTTGAAGTCTTTACATTTTTTTTTTGTATTTTAGTAAAAATCATTTCGGTTGAAAAGAAAATTTATGATCAAAAAATTTGATTGGATGGATAAATTAAATATTTCAAAATTTTTGAAAAAACAAATAAGAAACTTTGACTATTATATATAAACATATCGAGATAAATATATATAAAAAAGATAGATTTGGTGCAGCAATTGACGTGTTGCAACGTGCATTGTGATTAAACAATTACGGCACTCACAGATGCAGTAAATAACGGCTATCTAGCTAGCATTTTAATGGCACGCTCTCGTACATGCCTTTAGTACAAATCTCTCATTGATATATATAATATCTGTAGCCAGACCCATATAATTATGTTGCAGGAATCTTTGTAGAAATGAATGATGATCAAAGTTTTACCGATTTCCTTTTCTCAATTCTAATCTTATTAAAAAGCTGGGAGAAAGAAAAGAAAAGAAAAAAGATTGAAATGTTATTGTGTGGCAGTGAATCGAGTGTGTTAGTTGACTGCAGGAGAATCACTCATCATTCTTTTCGGTGCAAAGCAGCAAAGGGGTTTTCAACCTAATTGCAGCATCTCTATAAAGTGTGGGATCATGTTTTACTGTCCTTTGACGATGAGATAAGAGTTGAGTAAGTTGTAAATTAGTCTCTCTTGTTTAGATAAATGAACTAGTCTCATTTCTTTTAAAAACTAATTATTTAATCCTTATATTTTAATTCCGTCAATGACTTAATCTTTTCATCAGTTTTTTGATGAATTAGTGATTTTTGTTTTCAAACCGTCTTTTCTTTGATTTTTGATCGAAGAGAGATAATAAGGTGAGTGAAGAAGATATATAAAGCATTAAAGAAATGATAATTTGAGGAAAAAAATTATTAATTTAATGAAAAATTGATAAAAAGACTAAATTATTGAATAAATCAAAACATGAAACTCTAAATTATTAATTTTTAAAACAAAAAAGACTAATTAATTTTTTTTTCCAAATGAGAGGGACTAATTTATAATTTACTCGATAAGGATTACGGTTATCATCCTTTTTTTTTTTTTTTTTTTTTAAGGTTAAAGGGTATTCTCATTCTAGTTTTACCATAATTAAGATTTTTTTTTAAAGGATTTTAAGCAGTAATCTTAAAATTTAAGCATAAAAAATCAAGAAACTAAGCAAACCTCTTTGACTATTTGACTTACTGCTAAGATTCGAGGTCATGATTGTAATCTATGTAAATGATAATGTGATGGCGATACCTGATAAGTGATAAATGATTTTCTAAGTTTACTCAAACCAAACATATAATCATTCCTTAACTTGTTTCCTAAGTCAACGTTTCCAAAAATTATTTTTTATTTTATTTAATGTTAATCAGAATATCTGTTTTCTAAAATATGTATATTGGATTTTTATATATTTTTTCACATCAAAAATCAATAATATTATTATAAAAACGTAAAAAAAATCGATAAAAGACTAAATTATTGAGAAAATTAAAATGTAAGGAATTAAATTATTAGTTTTTAAAAGGAGAATGACTAATTAATTTATTTTTTAAAACACAAGAGACTAATTTATAATTTACTCGACAAGTAATTATTGCCATCATCATTGTTTATTTTATTTTCATGTTAAAGGGTATTTTCATTCTAGTTTTACGATAATTAAGAGTTTTTATTTATTTTTATTTTTTTGAATGATTTTAAGTATTAATATTAAAATTTGAGCATAAAAACTCAAGAAAATGAGCAAACCTCTTTAACTATTTGACTTACTCCTAAGATTCGACTTCATGATTGCAATCTATGTGCATGATAATATGATGGTGATAACTTATATATAAGTGATAAATGATTTCCTAAGTTTACTCAAACCAAACCTATTATAATTCCTTACCTTGTTTCCTAAGTTAATGATTATTTACAAGGCAACCAATCTCTCAATTATTAATGGATAATAAAGACAATGTGTGTTTGGATTGATGGTGAAGGCAAGTAACAGCATTGGAAGGCTTTTTTTTTGTTTTTTTATTTCAGTGATCTCACCGATTACGTGCAAGAGTTTACAAAAGAAAAAAAAAGAAAAAAAGCAACCAATGAAAATAAAAAGAAAATGAAAGGCAGGCCATAATGTTTCACGACGATAATGTTCTTAAGCAGAAGATTGGGTTTTCTTTATTGATTGAAAATATCTTTTTGTTATTCCACAAATTTGAAGATAAAAAAGTTATGTTGGATTGCTTTCAAACGACAAGACAAAGTGACATGCCAAGAAGTATTGTCTTTTTGGGTTCTGATTAACTTGCTACTATAATTATTTGGTGTCGATAATGTTTTTTTCCCCCTTTTTGTAAAGGTAAATGTTTATTTAGTCAATTATAAAAATTAAATTTTTGTAAATTAAGTTTCAAATATTTATAAATGATTAGTATTTTTATGATTTTTTTCATAAATTTCTTTTAAATTAGAATCCGAAATGATAACGTAGATAACAAATCTAGTTACGTAGTTACATGCTTGAACAAATGAACTACAATGCCTTCCTACTTGCAGGTGTCTTAGATATTTTTTGCGTAAATGTCTCAAACTGTTTTTATATAATAATTTGAGTCTCTTTTCTATTCTTTGAATTAACTTTTTTTGACAATGAGTAAATTTTTTTTTATCAAAATGTCTATTACTGAAAATACAAAATAATAATAATAATAATTTAGAGTGATATGAACTGCATGTTCTACTTTGAAATCTTTAGATTTTTTTTATTTTAATCAAAGTCATTTCGATAAAAAAAATGTTCATAATAACAAAATTAAACGAAATGATAAATTAAAATAATACTTATGAATATAATAAATGCATTTAGAAACGAAAGACTCAAACTTTACGGAAAAAAATTCAGATTTCAGTTCGTACCATTAAAAATTTTACAAACTGAAAATCCGACCCACGAACATGTCCAGGCCCAATAAACCGACGTACAGGCCCTAGAAAAAGAGAGCTGCAAAAGAAGTGAAGAAACCATTTGAGTTTTGTGTGGCTGAGCCAAGTGCAGTGGCAGTGTGGCAACCCCTGCTTATCCTCTGCTTCACTTCACTCTTCCCTCTTCAACCTTGTGTTCCAACCCAATATTCAACAGGTATTCCTTCTCATTTTTACAATCTCTTTACAGTTTTCTGCCATCAGTTATCATCATCCTTAGCATTATATACTATGGCTGCTAATAAAGAGATTCTCAAATATTCAAGAAAATGGCTTGAAAGCAGTTAACATGAATCAAGTTGCATGTCAAAGATAAACAGAATTTCTGCATAAATTTTTCATGTGTTTTTGCTTACGGTTGTTGAGTTATCATTTATGAAGTGATGGTACCAAGAAAATGAAAGAACAAGGGTCTTTTTGTAGCAAAAACCAGGAATGTTCTAGCTGAACATTGTAGCTAACAACTTAGCATAAAGATTAACAATGTTGTTAATATTTTTTAGGTCCATATTATAAAGAATTGGAACAAGAGTGAAGAAATTAGAAGTGGGGAGAGAAGGAAACAATGGCTGCTGCAACAGTGTTGTGTTGGTGCAATTCAGACTTGATAATTCATGGCTCACGTTGTAGATTATTTGTTACGGATAAGGTACTGAATTTGAATCAATCAATAGTGAAAAGTAGAGGAAGTTATCGTGGTTATCAAAAGCAGAAGAAGTTTTTTGTGTGTGCTGCAACTGAAGGGTCTGCAAAGTCTAGTAAATCTGAAGAAACTATCCCATCTTGGGCTAAACCGGATTCTGATGAACCCCCACCATGGGCTAAGGGTGAAGGCAAAGAGATCTCATCAAAGCAGAACATTGAAGTTCCTTTTTTCGTTTATTTACTTGCCTCAGCAATTACTGCAATTGCTGCAGTGAGTTTCCTGACTTCTTGTTCTTTTTTTTGTTTATCCACTATAGCATTATGTACTACTAAAGTAGATGGTTTGATTGTTTAAAATTCAATGTGTCCAGATTGGTTCCATTTTTGAGTATGTGAATCAGAGGCCGGTTTTCGGAATTGTGAACTCAGACAGCATTTTTTATGCTCCATTGCTCGGATTCTTTACATTTACTGGCATTCCCTTTTCTGTAAGTGTTATATTTCTTTCTGGGTGTTAAGCTAGTGGATATATGTTGATCAAGATTCCGAATTTGATTCTTGAAATCAATGGATCTTGACATGATATGTTGATGGTATCATTGTGGTAGTTTTTAAGTTATCATAATCTTATCGCTAGGGACAGGTTGAAGAGCAAGTTTTTGAATTGATTATTATGACTTCCAGTTAGTGCTAAACTGTCTCATGTGGGTGATAAAGTTTTCTAATCCTATTGTTTAGCTAACATGACCTTGTCTACAGGCGTTTTTGTGGTTCAAGTCTGTTCAAGCTGCTAACAAGGAAGCCGAGGAACAAGACAGGAGGGATGGCTATCGCTAAAGTCACACTTGCAGAATGAGTTAAATATACTGTTATTCTTCTATGAAACATGAGTACCTCCCTCATTTATCTTAACCCTTGATCTTTCCATTCAATTTTGCTTCTATAAGATATCCTTATTGTACGTTGAGACACTCCATCTTTGAAATTTTAGCTTATAATTATCTGTAGGCTTGTGAATATCCAAAGTAGCTCAGGGAACAAGAAGACCATAGACCTTGTATTCAAAACATATTATGATTTTTGTTTGGTATGGAAGTATCCTGACAGGATATACTGATGTACAAGTGGAAGGTTTGAGGTCCTTACTTATCACACTACGTTGATATATTGAATGATTGAATCTTCCAATAATTCTTAATTAAAGTAACTATCAGATGAAAGCTACCCTTGCAGATTACCCTGTCCGGTTCTTTTGAGTAACTCCTTGTGAAATGGCATCTGAAGCTTGACCTTGACATGTATGCTTGGGATAGAGTTAAATTGCCAAGTATCAAATCCTTAAATGTAAAAGATTTGCCTTGCCAGTCACCTTTCATTGCTGAGAACTGCTGTGAGTTGGATTTATTGTTTTTGCATTGCCATTCTCTCACATTACTGAGATTGCTGAGAGGTGCTTTGAATTGGATTTATTGCTTCTAATTCAGCTATTAGATTGAGTTGTGATATATGTTTTCCTTTGCAAAAGGAGTTTGCAAGGAGTCTGAAGTGGGCAAAGTTTCTAGAATTCTATACATCTTTAAGAGGAGAATTGCAAAGCAATGTTACCTTGGAAAGCAATTGATTGTATATGGTGGTTTTATAGACTTTTTAGGGCATTACTAAAAGGTGATATTGATAGGAGAGAGATTCTGGTTAGCAATCAAAGAATGTAAGAAGATTTAATAAGCTTTTTTACATTTATTAGATTGACAAGCATATATACATCAATAATAGTATAGTTTAAATGAAATCAGATTGTTAGATTCTTTGTTAAGGATCAAATTGCAGCCCTTAGAGGAAAAAAACATGCAGTAATCTTGGAAGCAAGTGAATTGGAAGGATCTTAGTAGATGTAAACAAGGTTGAACCTGTTCAAGAACACAAGGAATTAAACAGATGTCAATGCTCAAGCAAGAGGTTCTCCGCAAATACTGATAGTAGAAAATGATGCACTTCTGATCCATAGCATAAAAGATGAAAATGTCTTAGAATTGAACGCTTGTGTTGGCCCAATAAGTAATCTTTCACGGTACAGCCTAAGTATCTTCTTGTCTTTTTGTAAAGAAATCCAATTTTGCTGGAGTGAAATTCTCAGCTCCTCCACATCCATACCATTTACTTACATACCTGTATATATTTATTCTACTCCACGTGCCTTCTGTGTGTCTTAACCTAGGCAGCCACACTCCTCCCTAACTTCTGTCCCTAAGCTAAAACGCTTCTCTCTTTCACATGGCTTCACATCAAATATCAGAAACTTGTGCTGAACATAATATTTCAATAGCTGACGATGATGTTCGGAAGGTCCAAAGGCTGCGACGAGCTCAATGGCTCCGAGCAGCTATTCTAGGAGCTAATGATGGTTTGCTTTCCACTACGTCACTGATGCTTGGCGTAGGTGCAGCAAAGGAAGATAGATGGTCCATGGTCTTATCTGGACTAGCTGGAACTCTTGCAGGTGCCTGTAGCATGGCTGTTGGGGAGTTTGTTTCCGTTTCGACCCAGAGAGATATTGAAAGGGCATCTATTAGACACTTCAGTCCTAAACATGATGCGAAAGATGATCCTGGAATCGGACTCGATATCACTGCCACTCCAGCAAGCATGAATGGAGAAGCGAAGCTGGATGATCCCCCTGGAAATATACAGCTTGCCAAGATCATCTCTGAGCCAATACAGAGAATGTCACCAAGTATGATCCTTGAGCCAAAGTTGCCACCAGGAATGTCTCCCGGAAGGTCTCCTGCAATGAAAGTAATTCAAGAAGACACAAAGAAAAGCGCTGAAATACGGCCAGAGGATGACGGAGGGGAGGTGTTAACAAACCCCTACAAGGCTGCAGTTGCATCAGGTTTATCATTTTTGATAGGATCATGTGTGCCTTTGCTCTCTGCCATGCTTGTTGCTCAAAATACTGTTAGGGTTGTGGTGATTTCTGTGGTTGCATCAATAGCTCTGGCTTTTTTCGGAGGCTTCGGAGCTTATCTCGGTGGTTCACAGGTAAGGATATCTGCAGTAAGAATTCTACTTGGAGGTTGGATTGCTATGGCAATTACTTATGGGTCGCTCAAGCCTTTTGATAAGGATCATAGTTGATGACTTAGATTATTTCCATCATTACTGAACGAGAAGCTGACAGGAACAAGGTTTTGGTTTTTCCCATATAAAGCCAAAGCTGTTGATTCTTGCTGAATCTTGTTTTCTTAATACTAGATGTCTGTATTGTCTGAAGATGCTGGAAGACTAATACATAAATGTTAGAACATGAATATTCCTTCATGGCACCTCCATCCAATATTAGTCTCCTATCCGGCTATACCCACACTTCCTGTCCATTAAAAAAGAAGCATTTCCCAACGTTTGGGCTTTGATTGTAGTAATGAAATGCATACGGCAGGTTCGGGAACCAGACTAATCCCATTAAAATATGTAAAATTTATCATAATCAAGGTTTAGGTATCGTCCAAAACGTAGATGCACATCAAGCTGGGCAGTTAACTCGAATGCTTAAAAGTGTGGAGAACATGAAAGAGTGCAACTTTGTTTGACTTTTAGCATTCAAGAGACAGCATTTTTTTTTAACTGGAATAACTTGTCTTTTGCCATTTTTTTTTCATTGGTAACGCCAAAGAAACATTGCCAGTTGTGTTCCACCGTACAAAAGAACAGGACCAAGATGACACTTTTACCTAAATGTAACTAGGAACGGCAATGGGGCGAGCTTGAAAATTTTGCCTTATCCCATCTCGAGTCCTATGCGGAGCAATATTTCTCATGTTATCTCTATTCTAAGCGGGATGGAGATTCCTATAGGGTATTAATATTCTGTTTAATTTTTTATTTTCAGCCCCGTCCCATTTTATTATATTATCAAATTTTAATCATAGTAAAAAAATTATAATTCATATAGAAAATAAACCATAAAAGCCGGTAATAACAGATTTTATATAGGATATAATTATAATTTCAAGAATCGAAGTAGACAAACGAGACGAGGTGAGTAAATACTATTCCCATCCAATCTCAATTCAAAATAAATACAAGACGAGACGTCCTATCTTGTTTTCAATCAACTTAGAAAATCTCCATATTGATTGGGGCGGAACGGGCTCCATCGAGACGGCAAATTGCCATCCCTAAATGTAATCATATAAAATTAAGAATTTTTACTCCGATTTGACATTAAAATGATTCATCATGACATATTAGAGTTTATGAAAATACTTAAGGAACACATGCAAATTAGATGGGATATTTAACTATCCCTTTATAGTCGATGAATTGAGAAGTGACAGTGTCGGATATCTATTACTTTTGGAGGTAAAATTACTAAAATTGAGAAGGTATGCATGATGAAAGCAGTTACAATATTGATAATATCGGAAATAGAAGAAACAAAGCTAGAGTAGATAAGGTATTCATGATGGGATAAGAATAACATATCTTTTGAAGATGGTTGCATGAGTAATGACAAGAGGGTATGGCAAGGTGGTCATCATTTAAAGCCCGTCCAAAAAGGAAAAAAACTACTTCTATAATAGTCTGAAAGCTTGCACTTCAGACATATTGTTCACATTACAAGTTCCAACCACTTCAGGTGAACCATATAAATATTGGAGTCTGAAAGGTTGCAAAAGGAACAGTCTCTGAATAGCAAACGTAAAAAGGATCTGATCATAGTTTGACAATCATGGGGCAGGAAGAAAAGCAGGAAGCGATCTCTTCTCCTTTGCCTGTACTACCAAGATTGGATCGCCTTGACCGTTTGGTAATACATTCTAAGCTTCTGTTAGATGCCCTGCAACCTCAAAGTCATTGCTTCACTCTGCATAATTTTTGGATTTGAATGTTTTCATTCAAGAATTGCTTCTATCTTCGATGATGATCTTTCTGAGTACAAAGAATTTTTATGAATACATGCAGCTGCAGTTTCTGGAAGAAAAGCATTCCTTATCAGGAAAGCATACTGCCAATTCTGTTGACAGGAAATTGGAAGCAGAAGATCTGTGCAAGAGTTTATCATCTGCACTTGAGGAAGTTCAACACAAAGGCACCCTGATGGAGCGACTAGAAATGCTCGAAAATCGAGTACTACAGGTTTCTAAACAAAATTATATATCCTGAATTTTTTCAACACATATAAGACTTAATGTGGGAATTTCCTAGTGCCCTTTCTTTGAAGATTTACCAATCCTTCAAATTTCAAGTCCCTAAAATGTTCCTGTAAAGTCATTGTAGTAATTAATTTTCTCATATTTTCCATTCATCAGGTAAGCCTAGAGATGGATGTAGGAAACACATCAAGATCAAGCTCTTCCACCATTCAAGGACCTGAAAAAATTGGCCATGATGAAGTTTCAACCATACACAGTAAGGAGGATGAGCAAATGATCATCACCAACCAAGAGAAGCAAGATAATTCTCTCATAGATCAAGTAAGTTAGAGTTCCTTTCTTGGAACACCACACCAGATGCCCTCATCTAATCTTCTAATCATTTTCTTGACATATTTTTGGCAATTGTTTTTGCAGGAGATCACATGTACTGCAGATGCATGTGTGAGAATTTCAGAGGCTTCCCAAAAGGGTAGAAGACACAAAAAGAGGCACAGGAAATGGCTTGGATGGCTTGCAACGGGATGCTGATGTTAGCTACATGTCTTCGCCAGTTCTAATTTTACAAGTTCCACATCCTGCTTTCATGAAGCTCTCTTGCTCTTCTTATCTAATTTTCCACAACCTTTTTATGTCTAATCTTGGGTCCTATTAGTCTCAAAATGTAATAAATCTCCTGTTAATTAAGAAACTCAAGATACTATTGCATTAGATAATATGCTTCTGAACAAAATAATCCTGTGTTTATGTGGCTAAGAAGAAAGATATACCAAGTCAATACTGGCCAAACAATCTTGCAATAGCTTTTTCTTATCTAGCCGAAAATTATTATGCTGGGAGAACATGTTACATTAAAAAAAAAAAAAAAAGGTTTAATACCCTCATATGTCTTTGTAAAATAGACTAATTTTTCAATCTGTTTTTAAAAAATAAAAAACGCCTCTAATATATCTTTATATTTTGAGCTAGTTTCTAATATAACCTTTCAGTTAAAATTTCTGACTAAATTAAGTAAAATTAAACATGTGATTTGTACATAGTATGTGATTTGACAAAATTATCTTTCTTATTTGGTACAAATAATCTATATTTATTAATATAAAGATTAATTTCTAAAAATTAGCTGAAAATTTTGATAAGAAGGATAGATTTGAAAGTTGAAACTAGCTTAAAATATAAAGATAGATTGAAGATTTTTTTAGAAATATATTGAAAAATTAACATGTCATGTAAGAACATGTAATGATATTAACTCTTAAAAAAAAATTAAGTTCTATATAGCAGAAATTCTTTAAAATATGTAGGATATAATTTGGAGTAAGCACAAAACAATTATGCCACAGTGATCATCCATGGAAATATGAAAAATTGTTATGTTGCCTTTAATTTTGGTGAACTTATATAGTATGATGAATGTAAAATGGTATTGTAGTTCCATTGATTTTCAGTCAGTCCAAAGATGGAGATAAGAAGAAATTATGGAAATCGCAACAAAGGCAATTGTTAAATCTTTCTTTCACAATCCAGTAAGGTATTTTTTTTCTTTTAAAAGGTCTTGAATTTAAATCTCTTATATATATATATATATATATATATATATATATTAAATAATAACTCAATCTCAATGTTTGTGCATGGATTCATTTTGCAGTATCCTTGGGTGGACCGGATCATGTTTCTACATACAATCCAAACTTTTTGTGCCTACCAAATCTATTCATTACTTGATCGGATTTCTTTTCAATCACAGTATAGATTGATAGACCAGATCTAATTATAAATAATAATAATAATAATAATAATCATCAACCTAGTTCTAAAAGGGTATAACAATCATTTAATGGCTAAAAAGATTTGTTTTTTCCTTTAATTTTTTGAATTCAGACATTAAAATCAGCATTAGAGAAATTTATTAAATTTTTCTAAATGTATCACATTGATGTAAAATATATGTCGAAAAGAGATTTAGTTTCGATTGACCCGTAAATTAGTTCGAGTAAACTTTTATCATAAAAAAAAAAAAAAACCCACACACACAAATATGCATTTTGTGTATAAAATCAACATGACATGTATGTCATATGTATGATTTGATATTACAGATATGGACTAAATTCAAGTTAATATTATTTTATTCAATAATAATGATATTTTTAGACCAGTTTATAGTTTATATATCAATCGAGATATAATTTTTTTCTCAAATAATCTTAAAAATACACTTCTCACATCAGCACCATGGATTCAGATGAATTTAACAAATTGTAAGCACATCTAGGGGTTTTGAGCATTACAGGTTCTCAAATGGTCTGTGTATGCACCATTTAAATGCCTACATGCATGATTGATGATACACAAGTTTTAGGATCTTATGCATGGCGTGATAGGAGAAACTATTATACATGTCATTAGTTACATCTTATGTATTATAAAATTTCTCGATACATGAAATTTTTATTATTTTTTATGGGTATGAATATAATTTTTTTTATATATCTATCTTTATCTTTAAAATAAATCCAAAGAATAACTTTTACATATTACTAACTATTCTTTATGCATTATAAAATTTTTTTATGTCATTTATGTATGATAAAATTTCTTGTGTCATAGTGCGGTATTTATGTAACAACAACTGTCTGAATCCGAGGTCATGTGGGTAACGAGAAGAAATGGAAACCATGTCAGCAGCTTCAAAATTCAAAAAATAAGACTCTCCGGTCAAAGTTGATTTCTTGATGAACACATCAAGCTGTCTTTGTTCATGAGATCAGGGATTTGGAGACCTGCCCAAACCAAAAATAACTAACACGTTTGTTTGCGAATGCTAGAAGGTCACATAAACATTATTATTAGAAATTATGTTTTTTTGTTAATGTCAAAAATAAATGAGAAGAATTAAAGAGAAAAGGTAAATTGTTGGATCAATTAGTGTGCAAGTTTTTTAAAACCATTTAGTCAAATTTTTATATTATTTTATTAAAAAATATCTTTTTTATCATCAATTTTTCTACCATATCTATTTAGTGTTCATTATTAAAAAAAAGTGCTAATATAATTAAACAATATAAAGTTTGTGTTTTTTTCTACAATAAGCCAATAAATAAATAAAAAATCATTTATAGTTATCGTGAATTTTACGCTTAGAATAGGAATTGTTCAATATTAATATTTATAAAAACTCTAAAAATTAATTAATTATTAATCAATGTAATAAGGGCATGATTATAAAGTTGTAGGCACACAATGCTAAAATCTCGATTCAGAATTATTTCAGATCTATAGTAATTATAGTGATCAACAAATCACATTTATAAAGAGAAAAAAAGAAAAAAGAAAATGAACTCATGAGTAAAAATTAAAACCCCAAATATAATTGATGAGCGATCAGTTTAGAATAATAAAAAAAAAAATTAAAAAGTAAGAGAAAAATCACACATGTCCTTAGGATATCTTTTAGCCATTAGCTTTTGGTAGATTTTAATAATCGATTTTTTTAATCCATCAGCTCACGTTTAGCTTCTAATTTTTAGTATATTTTAAAAATTAAAATTTTTAAATTTATCGGTTCATGCTTAGTGTCACACATTAAAAAAAAAAAAAAAAACTTTCAAAGATGAGAATCAAACTTTTCACTTAACAAGTCGAAAACACTCTTGTTGCAACTTATGATCCTTGTCGTTACAATATAGTATTCATTTATTTGGACAATAAGTTGTCATAAAACACAAGCTAATGCCTTTGTATGACTTGTCTGATGGTGTCGTTTACTATTCCAATTATCTTGGGATGGTTTTCGGGTGGAAAAACCCGAACAGTTTGGTTTGGTCCAAACTCTCAAGGAAAAAGAGATTCTAGATGCTACATCAAACTCTCTATATCTTTCCGTCTACACCACCCGTTTGAACTTAAATATTAATCAAGCAAATCAAAATTGATTACAAAATAGCTAATAAGTTATTGATTTAATAATAAATAAATTGATTATCAGATAAATTTTTTTATCAATATATATTATTTGACTCTTAAAGTTAGATTTATTATAAAAAATTAAATCTTTTTACTCTTATTCTAAATAAGATTACCTATCTTATGAAATATAAATAATTGAAAAAAACCACCAAAAAAAAAAATTACAAAATATTTACTAATCATCTCAATACTAGCCGAACAATCTAGCAATAGCTTTTTCTTATCTAGCCGAAAATTATTTTGCCTGAAGAACATATGCATTAAAAAAATTATTTTTCTTAAAAAAGCTTAATAAGAACTTATAATCCAGTCATAGGATAAATATATTTATGGAACCATCTAAATGATTGTTTATTATTTTTTTATTTTTCTAAATTCGTTTCTTAATAGATAACATGATATACCATATCAATAAAAGTAAGTTATGTTGCCTTTAATTTTGGTGGACATATATATACTATGTTGAAAGTGAAATGGTGTTCTAATTCTATTGGTTTTTAGTCATTCCAAATACATAGCACTTTTTTTTACACTATTTCATAAACCTAAAAATTCAATCGTATGAATATAAAAAAATAAATTCTTTTCGATCTTAGCAGAAAAAGAAGGGAAACGGGTATTCAATTTAAAGTGAATGACCAGAATTCTATATTAGATGAGGAGAAAATCATGGAAATTGCAATAAAGGGAATTGTTAAATCTCTCTTCCTCAAGCTAATAAATTATAGTTCAATTAGTATTATTATCTCTTCTTTTGAAGAATTCTCAAGAGTTTTCGAATTTGAACTTCTTTTACTGAAAAAAAAAAAACAAAAAAGCAAAAAAACAAAAAAGTTCAATCTCAATGTTTCTAGATGGACTCATTCTACAGTATTCTTGGGTGGACGGTACACGACCCAAATATTTTGTACCTATCAAACCTGTTCATTACTTGATCGAATTTCTTTTCAATCACAGTATAACTATTATTTAACTAAATTTGTTCTCTTCCTTAATTTTGTGGATTAAAAAATTATTAAATTTTTCTAAATATATCAAATTCGTGTGAAACAAGTATGTTGAAAATATACTTAGTTTTAATTTTTGTAAAAACTAATTTGAGAATACCTTTATCATTTTTTTTTTTTAAAGAAGAAAGAAAGATACAACTATGCATTATATGTATAAGATCAACATGACAATAATGATTTGATATTACTAGATATGGATTAAAATTTAATTAATATTTTTTTATTCAACAATAAAGATATTTTTAAATAAGTTTGCCTATCAATCAAAAAAATCCAAATAATCTTAAGAGTACAATTCTTATCTTGACTTGGTATATTCAGATAAATTTAATAAATTTTTTTGCATGATGACTCCAAGATTTAAACATAGAAAATTAATAACAAAAAAAAAAACACATATTCTTAAACACTAAGCCAACCCCTTAAAATTAAATCTAATTAAATATCTGAAGCAATATATCTCATGACCTTACAGATTTTAGTGATTAAGTATTTTTTTTAGATTTATTTAGAGACATAAAATATTTTATACTATAAAATGGGAAATATTTCCTCCATCACACGGCAATAAGATAATCCATAATTATTAAGATCCAAACGGACTAAACCTAATTTTTATTGAAAGAAGCTGGATCTGAAATTGAAGCCACGTCAGCAGTTTCAAACTTTAAAAACACCGTACCCCCAGGTCAAAGTTTGTTTCTTAATAAACACAGAAAGAGCTGTCTTTGTCCATGAGATCAGGGATTTGGAAACCTGTCCAAATCATAAGATAAATTGTACTCTTGCTAAAGCTAAATTAATTAATTAATCAATGGCTAGTGAAGTCACAACCAAAAGTAACTAACACGTTTGTTTGTGATTGAATTATTTGGTATTTTTAATCTATATTGCTTCCTAATCACAATAAAATGGATCAATTAATTAATTCAAGTAAATTATAAATTAATCCCTTTGGTTTTGATAAATGAATTAATTAATTTTTTTCATTTTAAAAACTAATTATTTGATCTTTTAAGTTTCAATTTTGTTAATAATCGAGTCATTTTATCAGCTTTTTTTGTTAAATTAATATTATTTCTTTCAAAATCTCATTTTTTGATTCTTTATTTCTCTCATTTATTCATTTTCTTTTTCTCTCGTCAACTAAAAATAAAAAAAATGATAATTTTAGAAAAAAAATTACTAATGAAACTAGAAATTGATGAAAGAACCATGTTTGATGGAATTAAAATGTGAAGAACTATGATTAATTAATTTATTTTTCTAAATTTGAGGGACTAGTTTATTAAGATGCTGAGAAAACAATTACATGCATTGATCATTTGTTGAGAAATTAAAGAAGTTATCCATTAACCAAAATAAATAATAAAAAAAAGGTCATTTATAGTTCTTGGGAATTTTTAAACTTAGAATATGAATGATTGGATAATATTTATAAAATTTCTAAAAATTATTTAATTATTAATCAATGTTAATTATACTGATCTACAAACCAACATATTATTTTTCATAGCAATCAATAAATTTATTGACATGATATATTAAAAGTATTGTTAAATTCATCAACTAAATTGTTATCCTCATTATTTTTTTTAGACAATTATCAATACACCTTCCACTGCATCATTCACTAATTATCAATAATTATTATATAATAAATATTGATGAATGATGTATTAGTAATTTAAAAAAAAATTGATGAAAATAATAATTTAGTTAGTTAATTTAGCGTTACCTAATAGTAACATACTGATGTTTTATCTCACATTAGCACTGTAGCATAGCATCACATGTCGGCACGACTGGTCACTACCCATGCAATAAATGCTTTTTATTGCGCACCCAGCCATTTTATGATAAGAGAAAAAAAAAAAAAAAAGAGTGAGAAATTGAACTCATTAGTAAATACTAAAACCCAAAAAGCAAATTGGAAAATAAGGAAAAAAAAAATCACACTGTCCTTGTCATTACAACTTTTATTTTTGCCTTTTTGTAAAAAAATACAAACTTTATTATTTTTAATCATATTAATACATTTTTTAATATTAGACAAAAACACACGAATTAAGTTTTCTGTTAACTATATTAACATATATGATTTTTTCCATAAAAATGCTATTAATATCTGACATGATAAGGGAATTATGTTTCTTATCACATAAAATGTTAACGAAATTTTGATGCAAAAAAAATCATGCTGCTAATATAGTTAAAATAAATTTAGTTTGTGTATTTTTTATTTTTAAGGTGTTAATGTAATTTAAAATATATATATATATATATATATATGAAGTGGTTAGTTTTTTATCACATCAATAACTTATGTTTAATATTATAAAAAAAAATTAAAAAAAATGAGAATCGAATATCTAACTTAATAAATCAGAAACAATTTTTGTAGCATCAGATGAGAATCGAATATTTGGACAACTAAGTTGCAATAAAACACAGATTAATGTCTTTATATGACTGTTTTCTGATGGTGTCATTTACCACATATTTTCGGGACGTTGTAACAATTATCAGGCCAAAGACATGTGGTCCAAACTCTCGATGAATAAGACAGAACAGATTCTTAAATCAAGGTATGGCTAGCGGCCAGCCAGATTCTAGATGCTACCATCAAACTCTCCAGATCTTCCTACCCATTTGTGTCCGTTTTAACTTAATCATTAATCAAGAAAATCAAAATTGATTACAAAATCTTTAGTAATTATCTCAAATATTTATTTTTAACTATTAATTATCATTTTTTTTGTAGAAAAAGAAAGAAATCTATTTTTTTTAACATAATACTGCTGTATGGTGTCGGGATAAAAAAATAAATATTATAGATAAAAAATATTTAAATCATTCATATAATTTATTTTTTACTCTATGTTCCTTATTATATTCAAACCGTATGGATAGAGTATACGGGAGATCAAAAAATTTATAATTCAATAATGATAATCTCTTATAATATAATAAGATGTTATAAATTCAAATCTCAAGATTCGATGAATTTGTGAGTTAATATATATATATATTATTTGGGAGAGAAACGTTTTCACCTCTATCTAAAATCCAACCACCACGTTTTTTTTTTTTTTTCCTTTGGAGCTGCCATTACCGGTGGCCAGTCCTAAATTCCTCTTTTCTTTTATTTTTTTCCTTTCTTTCCTTTTTCTTTCCTTTTCTTTTATTTAAATCATTCATATAATTATTGTATAAAAATCGTATTGTATTTGTATTTTTATGGATATTAATAAAATACTATTTTATATTCTTAAAAAAAATAAAATTCAAAGCATATCATTCAATAATAAGCAAAATTTTGACAACCTTAGAAAATTTAAATCAATTTTTTTCAATTAAACAAATAAAAAGTAAAAAATATCAATACTGTAAAAAAGTAAAAATTATTAAGAGTTCACAAAAAAAAAAAAAACGCATTATTTGAAAGAAACAGCTGGTATCAGTAGAGAAGTTAGACAAGAATTGAAGAGCAAGTAGTCATTAATTCTTCACCAAAAACAGATAAAAACAAAGAAAGGAAAAAAACAGGTGGGAAGAGAAATCAAGTATAAAAAACTAAGAAGAAGAAGAAGCCACCCCATTAAGCCATCATTGCCAGTAAAATCATGGAGAATCATAAGCAAGAACAAGGAGAGCTAACAATATTCAAAGCAAGAGAGTTATTTCCATCAAACATAATATACAGATTGGTAGCAGTAGCAACATGGCTTGGTTCAATCCATTTCACTTTTGTTATAGTTCTTTTTTCTGTTCTTTTTCTCTCCTTCTCCAAATGTCTACTGTAAGTATTCACTTATCTTTGTTTCTTCAAATTTTGATCTTTTCTTTATTTGATTTCTTTAAATATGGAAATAAAAAAAATGGGTTCTGTTTTGTTTTGGTTTTTAGTGTTTTCGGATTGCTCCTGTTGCTCATGTTCATTCCAATCGATGATGATAACAAGTTAGGCCGTCGCTTTTGTGGGTAACGAACTATCTTAACTCTTTTTGTTTATTCTTTTGTTATCACCTTTTTTTTATTGAAAGGAAAAAAAAAATAGAAGAAGGAATCTTTGCTTTTGTTGTATAAGAAAGATTGGATCTTTTCTTTTGTTACGTAAAGAAGATTGTTTCTTTATTGGTTTTTGACAAAAAATGCAGGTATATATGTAGACATGCTTGCAGTTATTTTCCACTGACTTTACATGTTGAGGACATACATGCCTTCCATCCTGATCGTGCTTATGGTATGCACTTTGTTTGTGGGATTTTTGTTTTAAGTGTTTGTTTTAAATGGGGTCGCTAGTTTCAGAAAATGAAAATGGTGGTTTGAAATTGACTTTTGTGATGCTCTTTTTGAAGTAAAAGTGAATCTGATAAGGGTTTGGTTGAGACGATAAATCCGCCAGGGTTACGGGACTACTGCTTAATGGTTCTTCACTAGCTCAAATTTAATAGAAGTGTAAATTTACTGGTTTGGTGTCCCAATTATTCATTCTTGTCAATATCAGCTTGGTGCAATTTCAGGATTATGAGTGATAATACCATTGTACTTGAATGTTGTAACTCAAGCAGAAGGTGTAAATATGAAATGATCTGGGAACTTCAATTGTAAGTATGGTTGCAATGATGTCAGATTAGGACTTGTGTCATCTTAGGAAAGCAGTTAACATGCTTCAAGAGGTGGTATTGCATAGTAGAGTGGATTTTGATTAGATTCTTTAGATTACTATGTGGGTTGTTAAATTCAAGTGGATGGGGGTGTTGGATTTTTCTGCAAGGATGTTATGCAGGAGGCAGTTGATATTAGAGTTTCTTGTGGATCTTTAACATTTTAGCTATCCTAATAGCTTCTGTTACCTTATTTGAGCAAGTAATAGTAATCTTATTTTGTGCTTCATGCAGTCTTTGGTTATGAGCCACATTCAGTGTGGCCCATTGGTGTTGTTGCATTAGCAGACCATACAGGTTTCCTGCCTCTCCCAAAGATAAAGGTCCTTGCCAGCAGCGCTGTAAGGCATTTTCCTTCCCTTTTTTGTATATTTTTAAGTTTTTATAGAGCTTTTTCTTCTATTTCTCATCACATGGATAAAAATTTAGGTGTTCTACACACCATTCTTGAGACATATATGGACGTGGTGTGGTCTTACATCTGCGACAAGGAAAAATTTTACCTCCCTTTTGTCAGCTGGTTATAGTTGCATTGTAATTCCAGGTGGAGTACAAGAGACATTTTATATGGAGCATGATAATGAGGTCTTCTCTTTTAAACTCTTATGCTCTCTCCCTCTCCCTCCCCCTCTCTCTTTCTTTTCTTTCCGTTGCACCTAAGTAGACTTTTGCCCCTTTCTAGCTGGCAAGTTTTGAATCTGGGATCTATGCAATCTCCCCTGTCTGATCCTTACAATCTACCGCAACATGTATGCATGTGTTTATCATTGATTGTTCATATTCTTTACCCCCTCTTTTTCCTATTTAGATGGTGAGGGAAAGTGGACACATTTACAACCCTTGGTACATAGAATCCTCGACGCTTGAGACATGAAATGGCCTGACATGATGTGCTAACTAAACAGAATTAGGCAGCCTAGTTCTTTATTTATGTGATGAATATCTTGGTTGTTGAGCTCGGGCGTTGCTTGCTTTCAGATTGCTTTCCTTAAGTCAAGAAAAGGTTTTGTCAAGATAGCCATGGAGAAGGGCGCACCCTTGGTTCCAGTTTTCTGCTTTGGTCAAGTATGGTTTTCTTCTATTTCACTTTGTCACACTTTGGTTAAATGCAAGTAGAGCATTTCCTTGTTATGTAGCAGTGAATGCTGCAATTAAGGTGGATTAGTCCATTGTTGCATTTGCATTGACCCTCATGCAGGCTACTTGAGGTTTTTGTTGAAAGAAGAGTTTTGAATATTATTATCTTATAGATTAGTACTCCCTTTTCCAATTACACATTTTGTATTGCTAACATTGTCAGTTTTCTTATTGTTGCTGCAGTCAAAAGTGTACAATTGGTGGAAACCTACTGGAAAGCTATTCTTGAAATTTTCTAGAGCAATTAAATTCACCCCAGTTGTCTTTGGTGGAATTTTTGGGTAAGTATGGATTTGAGGAAATTCTACCTTTGTTTAGAGAAACTCTGTTTGTGTTTAGTGTCTAGGCCCATGGTTACACCCACTGCTGCTTGGTCTAAGCTTTCACTGAAAATTTGCTAATGTTAACGGAAAAGATGAAAGTACTCACTTTTCCTTTTCTTTGTCCAGGGAGTGGGTTGGTTGATAGAACCCCCTATAAATATATATAAACAGATTGAACCAAAACATATTTACAATATATAATTGTTTGCCTTTTCTCAGGACTCCCTTGCCCTTCCAACGTCCAATGCATATCGTGGTGGGTAAACCTATTGAGCTGAAGAAAAATCCACAGCCCACTGCAGAAGAGGTATGTTGCCACTCAAATCTGGAATCTAATGAATTAACCTTGACTGCAAATTGTGTACATATTCATTTGTTTATGAGAACAAAGTACTAGAGCCATATTTGTGGATTCCTTTTTCGTTTTCGATCAAGTGAAGCACTAACAAAGGTGGGGGTCGAAATTGGGATCTCACCCTCTTGCTTTGCAAGAGCACAACGAGCTCCTAGCCCTTTGGTACATTTTGAATTCCTTGCTTTGAAAGTGTTAGTTAATAATACTTCCTGCTCTGGTTGGTGGCAAAGCTACTGGGGGCCAAGAAAAACTTTCGTTAATGTTAGTGTTTTGATTGCATTTATGGGAGATCATTTAATACAAGTACGACTTACTATACCATATCAAGTGAAAGTTTTGGTGCCCTTTGGTCATAGTCTCATCCAGCCGTAACTTGTGAATATGCTAATTTGATTGCCAGGGAATATAATGTAATGTGAAGTGTTGAATCTTAGCTCGAATCTCTGTATTGTGAAGCCATAGCTTGCAATTTAAGATGCAGGCATTTCCCAACTCTACTCAATTAGTTCCCAGTCCGAAACTAGTTACATGGTTCATTTTTCATCAATTTTGCAGCTTGATGAAGCGCACAGTCAGTTTGTTGACGCACTGGAAGATCTCTTTGAAAGGCACAAAGCACGGGTTGGCTTTGCCGATCTTGAACTGAAAATTCTATAATTTGACGACAGAACTTGATTTGTTTCTAAATGTTTCTATTTATCTTTTTCTATACCTTCTTGTTCATATGTTGTATTTAATTTGGCATTGAGAAAAACACAACTTTAGAAAGCCAATAAATCTTCATCCACTGAATCCAATGTTCTTAGTTACATTTCTTTAGTTTCCCTGGGAGACTTCACAAAGATGGCTTGCAAGGCAAAAACTGCAAGTGATTTTGGCACCTGCTGTTTGACCAATTGAGCATCAGCAGAGTTTGGCACTCTAGAACCACATAAAAATGTTTTTGGTGCAGAAATGTTGATTTATTTGGTGCTGTTTTTCCACAGTAGCAACTATTATGCAGAAATGATAACGGGCTACGGTAAATCTTATGCGAATGAAATGCAAACTGAGACTTTGGCAGCCAATAAGGGGGAAAAAAATCTGGTTCTTGTGCGTTTCTTCGAAGTAACAAAACTAGGTGGATACAAACCTGAACTGAAACGTTAAGTTCAAGCCTTAACGATCTTTTTGTCCAAACCTAATTTGAACTAAGCAGCTGCTTTTATTTGTCACCTCCAGCAGTTACAGAAATACAATGGACGCTGTTAAAACCTATAGTGATAAATCAAGGATGATCATACAAAGACAATACTAATCAGTGTTTAAGGAGGATTCCTAGAACTTTTGCCTTTTTCTAACATCGCATAGCCAGTGTAACATTGTAAAACTTAACTGAAAGATACCATCTCTTAGACAAGGATTCCAATTTCCATACATGTGGCATGACACTCAGCTTAAGACAGAACGGAGAACTAAGATTGTCACCGAGGCGAATTGCAGCATATGAAATTTCGAAAGATTAAAGCACAACCGACTCAATTGACAGGAAAGTAACTGACCTTGCTCAACGGTTCTGTTGAGTGGTGTTATGACAGAAGGCAGCATGAAAACCATCACCAATTAGAACACTAAAACATGAAGGATGTTATAACTCAAGCCAAAAAGAGGCAATTGCCTGTTTTCTCTATCACAAAAAACAAATTAAACTTTCTCATTTAGTCATTTGCCTGTCTCATCTATCTAGAGTAAGCCGACAAGGAGGGGGAGGGGGAGAGGAAGAGATGATATCTACAAAGCCATCTTGGTCCTTAATCTTTCATACCCAACTTAATATTTTGAACTTTAATGGACAATTGTAATTTCTGCTCCTCGATATCTTTCAACACTGAAAGCAAGTTTGCTCTGTATACTTCACATTTTCGTCGTGCACGCTCCAGTTTGCGCTGCAGTTTCTGGATTTTCTTGTCCTGGTCATCCTACAAATCAATACATATTATATTCCATAACATTCAGCTCAGAAAGCAAGAAAACAAACACAAGCCATCTGTGTTTTATTATACTATCCCACGAAGTAGAATGCAACTATAGGGACTGATAATATGTGAATTCAACCAGAAACACGATAAAAGTAAATTGGATGAGAAACAGTTCAATTGGACACCTTGAGAGAGAGAGAGAATTAAAAATCATTCTGCATAAAAATAAGTACTCTATTTACCAAAAATGACCCAAAGGCTTCAATAAAGCAGATGCCAGTGAGAGTTTAGGCTGGTAATGAAAACAAGATCAACAACATTAGTACAGCAAAGATGATGATCACCAAGAATCTAAACAGCTTATTTCTGCTACAAACTGCAAAGTGACACCCATTGAAGTCAACAGACTAACCTCAACTGCCAAAGTCATTAGTTCTTCGGAATTAAAAGAACAATGTTTGCCATTGGAAATTATCACACCATATTGCATCATTTAAACAAAAAATTAGGAAAAAATAGCAAATATATGCATCAAATATTACTGATTAATATCGTAATACTTAAATGATTAGCTAACTGAAGAGTAAGAGAAAAGGAATGAAAAACTGACCGCAGAAGCAGGCTGTTCTAAGCCACGTTGCTGATTTCCACTTCCATTATTTGATTGACTTCCCTGACAAGGATACTCTTCTTTGCCAGCTCGATTTGTTATTGCAACTTTTCCACCTTTCTTTTTCACAAGAGCCACTTTATTTTCTGCCTCTTGCAAAGCATCCATTGCAACATTGTAAATTTCTAAACTTTGAATTCCATTATCAACATACTTAAGGGCCTCATGACGAAGATTACTGTATCGAAAGGTAAGAGATTCTTGTGAACTACTAAGCAAATCACTGGTGCGTTCCTCCAATACGACACCACTCTTGGCATTCCTTGTCCATCGTTTCAAAACATAATGGGAAGGCAGTGTCAGAACATTTGTCACCCTAAAAACTGTCAATATGTGTCTGCAAAGAAGGCCAGAGGACTCAAACATCCGGCAACTGCAAGTGGCTTTCATCTCACGAACGTTAAAGCTAACAGTGTAAGCTTTATGATTTTCACCAAACTTAGCAACTCTATAAGTATTGATAGCCTCATCATCCTCGATTTTAGTTGCCACGAAAGTTAATGTCTCAACCAACTCCTCTTGAAATTTTATAAACAATTTCCTGGTATAGAGCTCAGCCACTTGCTTCTCCATAGGTGAAGGGGTCTTCAGAACTGGGGCAGCGTTTATTGAATCATAGTCTGCTTTGACTTCTTTCTCATTGCGGCTTTCCAAAGCCTTCTCATACTGCTTAATAAACAACTGCAGGGTTGTTGAGGCATTGATGTATCCATCAAAGTAAGAGTTGATGCTATCGCTGCGCTGTGTGATAGACATTTCTGCAAAGAATGTATCTCTCAGGTATGCTGGGACCCACTGGCGCCGATCAGCATAAACTGCTTCTAGCCAATCTTGCTCCCTGAGATGATATCTATTAAATAGAGAAAACCAATAAGACTCAAATTCCTCAATCGATTCTGTGAGGTTAACACATTTATGGAGCTCTGCTTCAAAGTTAGGATGCTCAGAAAGCAAATGGGACAGCTTCTCTTGGCATTCTTTAAAGATGTGCCACTTGCAGAAACGATGACGGGCTTCAGGAAAAACCTGGGTCACAGCTAGACGAATTACCCTATCATGGTCAGTAGTGATTGAAACAGGAGGCCTTTCAGACATTGCCATAAGCCATGTTTTGAAAAGCCAAACAAAAGATGCCTCGGATTCATTGATCAGGAGGGCACAACCGAACAAAACAGGCTGCCCATGATGGTTAACTCCAGTGAAAGGTGCAAAGGGCAATCGATAACGATTTGACCGGTAAGTTGTGTCAAAGGTGACAGTGTCACCAAAGTATGTGTAGTTATTCCTTGCCTTTGGATCAGCCCAGAAGATATTGCTCATACACTGATCTTCATCACCCTGAACAGCATAGAAAAATGCAGGATTCTCAGCCTGCTTGTTGCGCAAGTAGTCCAAAAGGAGCTGAGTGTCACCACCAAGAGTTCTTTGTCGACTGCTTCTCATGTAATTTCTACAGTCACGCTCAGTAAAACCAACATTACTGATTCCACCACATTCTTTGATAAGTGCAGACATAATACCACTGGGACCAATCCCAGCACCCTGCAAGGTATCAATCAATGACTTTGCTGAGCCAGATACATGGCGGTGAGAGCGGAGACAATGCACCTTGTCAGGTGGAACAAGCTCGTGGTTATGTTCCCTTACAAATGCAGAAACAACCCATCTACCAGAATCCTGAATTTTAACAACCAAAATGGCCTTGCAACCAACACGGGTTTCAGCACGAGGGCGTTTGACACGCACATCAGTACGCGCAGGCTTATCCTTGTCAATGCGGAAACCCTCTTTAGCACAAACAAAAGACCTCTGAATGATACCACCATCACGTCTAGACCTGCGAGACATACTCACACGAGTGCTAAATCCAACACGACGAGCATACGAATTGTAAAAGGCCTTAGCAGCCTCCTCAGACTCAAATTCCATACCCTCATAAGGCTCAAGATTAGTGTCCCCTTGAGGGACATAAAATTGACCAGAAATGGAATTGTGGGAATTGTGGGGGTCATAAAAATTCAAAAGAAAATGGCTTTCTTCAACTTCTCCATCTCCTCCTTCCTCCTCGGCTACTTCATCAACACCAACTTCAACAGACTGATGATGTATATCATCCACAGTATCATCTCCCAAACCCATCATGTCAAATTCAATAACTTCATTCCCCATAGTCAGTGGTTCCAACTCCATTATCATATCAACTACTATATAAACCAAAAGAAATTCTAACCACAGTTACAAATATCAATAAATCAATCACTGCTACTTCGGTTCCAACTAAAGACAAGAACTTTCAAACCCCAAGCACAAAAAAGCTCCAATCTTTAAACAGAAACAAAGAAAAGAAAGCAAGAAAAACCACAACACTAGCACAAACTGCAAATATAGCCTGTAATAAAGAAACCCATTAATGAAAACTTCAAAGAGAGGGAAAATGAAGAAGACTGACCCACTTGGCTTTTAAGAAACAAAGAGGTGAAAGCTTTCACTTTCCGAATATCAGAGAGGATACACACATGATATGAGCTCACTCAATCACTTCAAAAAATATTTACTTTTTGAAAATCAAAAAACAACAAATGTTAAAAACCCATTTGCGGAATCGAGATTTTACCAAGGACCAATTTTGGTATTAACAAGACAGAGCTGTCTCCAATTCCTGGCCTGTCTATTTCATATTCGGGTTTGGGATAACTACAAATGGGGCCCCAAAACTTATAGGCATAAACGTATCAGGCCCTGAACTTTAATATTTGTTCAACATCTCCCCAAATTTTTTTAAACACCTTTATTACATGGGCAATTTCCATCATCACAGTTGAGCGGAAATGGTTTACAAAATTGGAATCAAATTTGAATTTATCAATATTAATTCTATAAATAACACTATAGTGATGTTATATTTCAAATGCATTATCTAATCTGATAAAATAGAAAAATAAATCAAAAAGTTTCTTTCGTTATTTGAAAGATTAATGCAATAATTGTTTTACGTAATAAATACCTTCATAAAATATTTTCCTTTTTTT